ATTAAATGCCTCTACTCAGAAGTAATACATTGCTCTTTTACTCATATTTGTTTGGTTAAAGCAAGACACTTGGCCACAAATCCCTTGAATATGGTGAGGAAAAGCTGTTGGTCATGGATACATTCCAGGAAAACTAAAGTATTTTTGAATGGCCTAATGACCGTGGACCTTGATGACCACCAAAGAAGGAAACACTCTGGATGGTCGACAGTATCCACATTCTCTTTATAAAAAAACAAATAATAAGAGGTATCATGGACTGGGCACCTAATAGAGGATAGATATTGTAGTACTTTGCATTTTTCTCTCAGATAATCCTCCCAACAAGAGGTCAATAATCTCCACATTACAATGTAGAAACTGAGGTTCACTTATTAAAACTTACTAGGTATTTATTAAGGATAGCATGACAGTAGTCCACACAGTGAGCACATGCCAGAATGGAAAATAGATCTTGAATGTCAATTCTGACAGATTTATGTTGTTTGCTAGAGAACTATGGCAAAAATGGGAAAGAGTGATGTGATTGCTGTTGCACACATGGAAAGGGGAGGGCAGCATGGCAAACAGGTACATCTGAGCATTTTTAAATTCTCTGGGTTTCAGTTATATCACCTACAAAATAAGTTTGAGTACACTTTACCTGTATGAAGGTAGGAGCCTGACCAAAATGGCTTCTTGATGTCCTTTGAGGGCATGCAAACTTCTGTTTCTATTTATATTTATTCCGATTAATTTTATGTACACAATGCCCTCATATGCTCAGCTCCTAAAGAGGGCAGAGCCTGAGGCCTTTGACAGGAAGGAAAAATCACTTATTAGCACTTACAGGTGCCAATTATCACTGTCCTGCCAATCATCTGTGAGCTGGATATGCTTCTTGGCCTCTAAATTTGAGGACTGTGTTTCTGAGTCTGGGGCTATGTGTTGGAGAAGTATGATTATCAAATGAACATATGCCATCTTTTTGGTGGCAAAACAACGTATTTTTTCTTACAATGCACAATGTGTATTAATCAGGGTCACAGCAAGAAATAGGTGGAACACACAAGGAGTTTAGTTGAAGAGAATTTAATAAAGATTGTATATACAGAGGTGTGATCAGGATAAAGGAAACCATCAAGGAGTGGTAAGATACTTAGGGACTAGCAAGAGTGGGAGGCCATTACCACTCCCAAGCCTGAAGGGACAAGAGGGAGGACATGTTATGTTTTCTTCCTCCTGTTTTTTTTTTTTTTGTTTGTTTGTTTGCATTTTATTTCACCTAAAAATATAAGAACCTCTCCTGGCCTCAGAAACAAATACTTCCATGAAGGCAGAAGAAAGGCCTATATGTACATATTGTCCAATATGGTAGCCTCTAGTCACATATGCCTGTTTAAATTTAAAAATGAAATTCAATAAAACAAAAATGTAAAAATTTATCTCTGGGTATATTATCTGCGGTTCAAGTGGTCAGCAGCCAAAGATGTCTAGCATTTACTGTATCAGGCAGTGCTAATATGTTTCCACTTGTGGAGAGTTCTTTTGGACACACTGACCTGGATCCTTAAGCAGAGTGTTCAATAGACAAGATTCAAAATCTGTCTTCATCCACAGACTCCTCAATGACACGGGGTTCTCTCTGGGCCTGTAGGATTTTCTTATGCAGCCAGCATATTAGTGATGATGATGATGATGATCTATATTTACTTAGTATATAACATGTGCCAAACAGCTAAAGATTTTAAATATATTTTATATCATTTAATTACCATCATAGTCCTGAGGAAGACACTATTATTATTTCCATTTTAACAATGGAGAAACAGGTTTCAAGAAATTGTTATTACACTCTATCAGGCTATACCAGATGAAATTGCCAGTATTTGGTCATTTTTGATGAAAATGGCAATTGCACATGGTTCAACCTCATGGTAAGTGGCAGAGCCAGGTTTAAAATCCAGACTACGTTCAATGTGTCAAATTCTCTGTAAGTGACTACCTTGAAACCTACTTCATAGGGCAGTTGAAGGAGTATACTAAATAATATTGGCTCTGTGCATGAATGTACAGCAAAGCTCATGAAATGTTCATTTTGTTTTAACTTCATCTGTCTGTCAGTCTTACTCCCTGGGGAGGAAGCACACAGCTGTCTGAGCAGATGTGGCCAGTGAGATTGGGAGGAGGTGGCCTATTGTCATTTACTAGACTGTACCCTGGGGGCCTGAAAAATTCCATCATTGCCATTAGGACGTCTCCTAACCCTTCCTGCTACCAATCCCTACTTTTTTCGCTCCCAGATTTTCTTCTGTTGGGTAGGTATGAGTCATTCTTCCTGGGCCTCCAGCAGAGGGAGATGTGATGAAAATTGGCCCTTCCTATTCACTGTGCCCCTCAGACCCAGAAGACACACTTCATCAATAAACCCTTCCCCTCAGGACCACAGAAGGAGCAGGAAGTGGGAGGTGGAGAGGAGGGGCAGCTGCCATGTTGAATATGACAGACATTTATATAAGCCGTCCTCTGGATCTCCCACACATTGTAACTGCATAATTTGTTTCTGGCAAGAAAACTGATTTGAAATTCCTCCTTCTTTTATTTGGCAAGAGTGAAGAGAAGCCTCCCTTGGCTGAGAGGCTCATGTTTGGGTGGGGTTTAGGACCTGGGAATAATTTCCATCCATATGAGGAAACTGCCTATCAAAAGCAATAGTATAGAATTGCCAGGTCTAGAAAGGAAAATATCGGGGACCCAGTTAAATTTGAATTTCAGATAAATAATTTTTTAGGAGAAGTATATATAATATGCAATATTTGGACATGTTTCTACTAAAAAATATTTTTGGTTTATACAAAATTTAAATTTTTCTGGTGCCATGATTTGAAAGGAATTTCCTCTAAATTTCAGGTGTTGCTAATATGGCAGAATTAAGAGGTTGGACATTTAAGAGATAATTAGGCCACGAGGCTCCTCCCTCATGCCTTATAAAAGGCTTCATGCAGCATTTGATGGGTTTGTCTGTGACATGTCCATTGTAGTGTTCCTCTTCTGGAGGATGCAACTGTAAGGCACTGTCTTGGAAACCAAGAGCAGCCCTCTCCCAACAAGCAAACCTGCTCTTAACCTTGGTCTTGGACTCCCTGGCCTCTAGAACTGAGAGAAATATATTTGTTTTTTATACACTACTCTGCAGCATTCTGATGCCTTGGCTACCTGTACTTTATTTAGCAACCTTGCAACAGTAGCCTTTCTGCCCACAGCTTCAGATGGGAGTTCATTTATGATGATCAGAACATGTGGACTAAGAGGAAGAGCTACAGGTAGTTTTGTCAGCTGCAGCCTATTTTCATAATCATGGTCTCATGGAAGGGGCAATGCAAAGTGGCTCTCAAAATGTGTACCAGTGGCATCACCTGGAACTTGTTAGAAATGCTAATCCAAATCCTCATGCCCCTGGGACACCTGTGCAGGGTGGGTTCAGCATTCTGCTCTAAGCAGCCCTGTGGGTGATGCTGATGCAATTTGAGAGCAAGTTTAGACAGAGCAAGTGCCTTGTGGACAAGATGGATCTAGGCTTGAAATCTACTTCTACCATTTACAAGTTGTATGAATGCAGCCAAATTGCTTTCTAAATAAAAAAGGAATAGAATATCTTATTTATGGTTATGTAAGGGCTAATACTATACTATATACTATGCATACAATCGACAGTGCTTGTCATTGGAAGACAAGTAACTATTAATCTTATTTATATGACACAGGTATAGGCCCAGTCACACTCGGAGACAAATTTGACAGCAGGACAAGCTCTAGTTACAGGGGGAATCTCTGTGTGCTCAGTTCAGACAGGCCTTTAATTTTAAGACTTCAATTTCCAATAGACCTACGAAGGGAGAAAATTGCAGGGAGATAAATGACCATGGCCCACTGTGGGTCCTAGTTTCCCAACTGACACATAGCACAGAGTGAAGGCCCTTTGTTCAGTCCTTGACTCAGAGCAATTACTCAAAAGGTAGGTTTGATTTTTTCCCACTTTTGTGGAAAGGAGAATGGCCAGAGGCCTGAGATATGAGGACAATGAGGGGCTCCTTTTAAAAGAAGGGGGAATTAATATACTCAGACTTATTTCACAGGTCAAGTTGGGGCTCCCACATCATGTCTAGACCAGTTCCTTAAATTGGGCATTATTGACATTTGGGGTAAGATAATTTGCTGTTTGCGGGGGTGTCCTGTGCATTGTAGGATGTTCATCAGTACCCTAGGTCTCCACTTACTGGATGTCAGAAGCCTCCCTCTCCGTCCTTCACAGTATGGACAATTAAAAAAAAAATCCCTAGACATTGTCACATGTCCTAGGGGCAAAACTGCCTTTAATTGAGAACCACTGTTCTAGAGAGTTTATTAGACAATACCCACTCCAACAACTTAAACATCTATCATTCACTGAGCATTTACAAGTGTCTCTAATCTACATACTCATACTCAAGATAGTTGTTATTGCCTATATTTTATAACTGAAGAAACTGAGGCTCAGAGGGTTAAGGTAACTTGGCTCAAATCATATAGTTTGGTAGATCTGGGATTTTGACTGAGAGGTTGGTCTACCTCCAAAGCTCACATAGTTCCTGCTGTGACACTCCATCTCCCTGAACTGAATAAAAACATCTTCATTTTATTTAAGAAAATTATCTCAAGTGAACTCAATTCCAAAAATATGGATGCCATGAGAAGCTAAAAGACAAATCCAAGATAGTGCTCCTTTCAAACTATTTTCAACATCAGCATCATTGGAAAGGTTAGGTTTTTGCATGCAACTCAGTTGCATGAGCAAAATGAGGCATTCTGGCCAAAATGAATATTTCTAGAGATAGAATTTTATGAAGTGAATGCCTTTGTGTATGTCTGCCCCACATGTTCTTTCTGCCATTCATAATAATAAAGGGAGCAAATGAAGTCTTAAAATTCCTGGAATCTACCAGAGACAAAGCCTATGAAGTATTCTCTTGCCTTGGGGTGGGCTATGTGTTGCTTCTAGCCAGACACTCAGCCATCTTCTTTTTGGCTCTCTGTATGAAATCCACGTTTCCTCTCTCCCTACGTATGGCAGTATATTCATAAGCTTTGAGCTTGCTATAGTAGTCAGAGAACTTGTTGTAGAGGATGGAAATGGGCATCCCATTGAGAATGATTCCAAAAGCAATGCAGAGGAAGGCAAAGAGCCTGCCTAGGTGGGTCTCTGGGCACATGTCTCCATAGCCCACAGTGGAGAGGCTCACCTGTATGGAGGGAAAGCAGAATGGAACTGTTAGTATTATGAGGGAGGAGAAAGACAGAAACAGGCAGGAGGGCATCCTCTGTCTCCCTGCAGGCACCCAGGGGCATGTAACAGCTTCTTATGGAGCCAGCTTCAGAGGGTATCAGAAAGTCTGCCAATAGGACTTATGCCATGGAAAGAATACAGGCTAAGGAGCTCGAAGACTCTGGTTTGAAACCTGACTATTCCTCATAGTACTCATATATAACATGGGGGTAGAGATACTTACTTTAAAGGGTTATTGTAAAGAGAATTTAAGATAACATGTTGAATTCCTGGTGCAGAATGTGCTGAGTAAATGCTGGTTATTATCTCCTTACCCCTGTCCCCAGCTGGGGCCAGCATCAGAATAGGAGTTCCCTGGGTTGGCCTGGATCACGAATGTATTAGAAATGAGCTTGGCCAGTTGCTGCAGTCTAGCTGGGCACAAATCAACGAGCCGCCACAAAGCACTTGTATCTACAAACAGGAAACTTTATTGCCTGAACTCCAACAGCATTCCATGCACACTCCCCAGGAACTCTCCTGAACACCACCCACGCGCGACTCCTTCAGGAACACACCACACACCAACCGGAAATCCCTCCTCCCCTCCGGCACTTCCCCAACCAACGTGAACTCTCCAGGAATCCCTGGGAGAACTTCAAAGTAGCCGGCGCCTGAGGCGGACAGCAAGGGTCTAATATACAATTGAATCAATCCAGCATCATCTTAATGGCTCACTTCTCAACCAATAGTATTGGCAAAATGCCAGGGGCCATTACAACTGGCTGTGGCTCTCAGCAGCCAGTAAAGACCAGTGTTCAAATTCTGACCCTGACTCTTCCCAGCTGAGATCCCTTGGGCAAAACATTCAGTTACTTAGATGGTACCACCTAACTCCCATGATTCTTGTGAAGACTAAATTTAGAAAATAAATATATAGCACTCAACATACTATCATGCACACAAATGGCATTCAGCGCCTCCATTGTCTTCCTTTCATCTTTTAAAATGAAGACAATTATAGCACCTCTCAGAGTTGTCATATAGTTCAATGGAGATATTTTATATGAAGGCACCTTAATTGCAAGTGTCCAGAGAAACACTTCTTATTTTGTGAAGGTATTGTTGGAAGACCTCACAGACTCAAATTATGCACACTCCACATGAAATTCTTCTTACCACTCGTCACACTGCTTTAAATCCCACTAATGAGAGATTTATTTAGGTTAACAAGCTTCTGTTTTAAAATGCAGATACCCATGGGACTAGTTATCAGTTAGTATAGCCAGAGAAAACCTTGGGAAAATCCCTTGGGGACCCATTTTTTTTTTATGTCTCATGTGCTTCCTGTGGTCCCTAAACTGTTGGCCAAGTTACTAGAAGCCTCTTAAGCCACGCTGTTGCTCACAGTTGTAAATTCTGCCTTGCACAACTTTAGGTGGCACTTGTTGCTCCATTGATTTGTACAGTCATTGCCACAATATTCCAGGAGATAGCAGTAATCATACAAATTCACCTACTAACCATTCTGAAGTGGCCTTTAGCCTAGAAATGAAACCATTTTTGTTTTGAAGATGTTAAGGGTCAGTTTGAACTTACAAGTGTGATTGATTGATCAATAAGAATGAAATGGAGAAATGAGTCAGCTGAAAAATCTGGTGAAGCTGATAAGAATCACAGCTCTGTCTAGCCCATCAAAAGGAGACAGTGTGCCAGGGGGCAGTGTCACATGCCTGTCACCTCAGCAAATCCTAACGTTGGGCCAGAAGGATCTCAAGTTCAAGGCCAACCTCAGCAACTTAGCAAGACCTTGTCTCTAAAGATAAAAATAAAAGGGGCTGGGGATGTAGCTCAGTGGTAAAGTACCCCTGGGTTCAATCCTCAGTTTAAAAAAAAAGGATAAGGCAAAGTGTACCTCCCGGTGAGGTTTCAGGGCTCAGAGCTCCATCTCTGATGAGAGAACTGCTGAGTGATGTGCTGCCTTTCCCATAGGGGAAGAAAACAAGCAAGCATAGAAGAGGCAGGATGATGTAGATGAGGTTAAGAAAACAGGTACCACACTAGACTTCTTGGGTCTGAATCCACTTCCCAACCATGTGAGTTGGGTGAGTCATTTACGCTCTCTTGATCTCAGTTTCTACTTTTTAAAGAAATGTTACAGGAAATGAAGGAATGCCTGGTATAGAACATGTGAGCAATAATGTTAGTGCATGTAACATGTAGGCAAATCCAAGGGACTCCATATCTTAAAGCTCATCCCAGCCGAAGGGTGGCAAAGACCAACATTGACAGGTACGCTCTGTACCAGAAGCTTTATATTTGTTAAGCTCTTTGGACCCACAGGCTGTGGAAACAGGCTCCTCCCTGACTTCTGCTAATTGCTGGCTGAGGGAGATTAGGGGGAGGGGTGCCCTCTGGCTCTTGTAGAGAATCTGCTTTTCCTAACTTCTGGGTGAAAGGGTAATGAGAGGCTGTGATGGATGCTTGTGTGTGTGTGTGTGTGTGTTTTCTTACCGGCCATATCAAAAGTTAAAAAACCCGATCAGATCTCCACTCAGGTGTGTGAGTTGAGCAGTAATTTTCATCTGTCACTGACACCATTAACTCACACCCCCTGGAGGAGGGCTAAAGAGAGTTTGAGTGCAGAGGTGAGCGGTAGGATGGGGTAGCTTTAGGATATGAAACATCCAGGAAAATCCAACTGGGAGTCCTTGCAGTAAACCAACACTCAAGGATCCAGGATGTGTGTGCGGGGAGGTAGGGGTCAGGGGCAGAGGGAGGACACAGAGGAAGGAAAATAATCAAGACAGTGCTTATTTTAAGCTTTGATTAATCCCACACTGGCTTTGCTTTGCCCCAGCCCCAACTTCTTTGTGTTTTGTTTCTTCTTTGGCTGAACTTTGAGTGAAAAGTCAAAAGCAAAGAAAATTGGCTTAAAGATGAATAAATATTTGATGTGCCTATTGTGTCTTGGATCTCTAATTTTAGAGAAAAGACCTCTTCTGCTAGGAGGCTGTGTGCGACTGGTTCCCAAGAATTTTTTCAAAATGTACAGTTAATTTATGTGTTGTCTATTTTGTGGCTAATTTGATTCAATTACTGATCTGTTTCTTGCTCTGGGAGGAATTAAGATTCCTTGGCTGTAGGAACTTCTTTTAAAATCCAGGTTCCATATGCCAAACCATTTCTCCCTAGATGGACATTAAACCCTGAAGGCCCAGAACTGACCCAGGTGACCTCATTGAGTGATTTCTCACATTAGTAGGAGTTGGATTGGAAACATGACCAAAATGTCTGCAAGCCAACTTAATATCCAGAAAAATTGGTTGACCCTGCCATTCTGTAAACTGAAAACTATCATTCTGCTGAAAACATACATATTTTCCTTAACTTTGGATCCCCAAAGCCAGAATGTGACTTTCCCCCAGCTGCTTACTCATTAATCAGCAAACCCTGACCTGCCAAACATTATGAGGACAAATTTTCCTCCAAAACTTTACAACGACTGTATTTGGATTTTTACTTTGAAAAAGGAATGTGTTTCCTTCATAAAGAATTAGGTGGTGCCGGCACACCCATGTTTATAACAATGCAACTGACAATAGCCAAATTATGGAATCAGCCTAGATGTCCATCAATGGATGAATGGAGAAAGAAAATGTGCTATATATACATAAATGGAGTTTTACTTAGCCACAAAGAAGAACAAAATTATGTTATGTGCAGGAAAATAGAACTGGAGAACATGGTAAGTGAAATAAGCCAGACTTAGAAAGTCAAGAGTTGTATATTTTCCCATATTAGAAGCTAGAGAAAAAAAAATGAGGTGGGGTGGGTGATAATATAAGGGAAACCAGCAGAGTAGAAAAGGGGGATCAGGGGGAGAAAGGAGGGAAAGAAGTGAAAGGGGGAGCAATGAAGAATAATTGACTAAATTATAATGCATGTATGAATATATTACAAAGAATCCATCCATCTCTCCCTCCCTCTCTTGCTTCCTTCTTTCCTTCCCTCCTTCCTTCCTTTTATTCTTTCTCCCCCCACCCCAGGACTAAGAATTGAATCCAGGGCTCTTTACCATTGAATTACATCACCAATTTTTATTTTTTATTTTGAGACAGGTTCTTGTTAAGTTGTTGAGGATATTGCTAAATTGCCCAAGCTGGCCTCGAACTTGCAGTCCTCCAATGCCAGCATCCAGCGTCAATGGTCAATGGGATTACGGGACTATGCTACCATGTCTGTCTCTGAATCCCACTGTTATGTATAATTATAATGCACCAGTAAAAAGTTTTTAAAAAACAGGCATAGAGAAAGTCTTGATACCCATGAATCTAGGAATTGTGACCTCAGGGAATAAAACTAATTTTTGAAAATAATATCCTTCCTAGTTTTCTCAAAGAATTGAAGGTGGTTAAAAACTGGCCTTTTCTGCCTAAGATTATTATATATTTCGGCGTATGTTGACCTTCAAAGCAGTCGGTTTCAAAGACGATATTTACCCATGCTACTGTTGTAACAAATATTTTTGGAATCCTGTTTTGATTATAATTTGCACAAAAGACTTGTGGCAAGACTTTGATATAAGGTTGTATCCACTTTGATAGTTAATTCTAGGTACTAATCTTAAACTCAAGATGACTTTTGACTATTTTAAAATACTGAACACAGGGGCTGTGGTTGTGGCTCAGTGGTAGAGCGCTCACCTAGCATGTGCAAGGCCCTGGGTTCGATCCTCAGCACCAAATAAAAATAAAATAAAGATATTGTGTCCAACTACGACTAAAAAAAAGTTAATAAATAAATAACATACTGAATGCAGCCTCAAGAAAGGTAAATAGGTAGTACTATCACAAAAAAGTAAATGTACATGTCACAATCTCTGAAGGTAATTCCTCATTGGAATTCAAAGAATGTTTTGATTAGTGGAAACACTGTTAGAATGAGCTCATGGACAATCACCTTGAAGAGAACAAC